TTTATCTGGCATTCAAATTTAACTGGGCCTCCTGTATTTTCATTTGCTAATTTTGGCAAGACTACTGGGGTGTCTCTTTTCAGGATCCCTGGTCTTGAATGACCCAGGCCTGGGTGCAGCCCCCAGTGGCTGAGCACCGGGGCACTGTATCCCATGGGACCTGTGGTGCTGATCTGTGCTTCCAGTGTGGCCTTTTCTGGATCTTCCTGCAAAACTGGACCCAGGAAGCATTTGCCCACCTTCCCAGCTTCTGGACAGGCCAAGATGTGCTCTGATGTTTTGTACCGGGGGGAGCAACCCTCCTTTCCATGGCTTCAGCTATTTACTTTAAAATGTAATAATAGGGGTGCCTGGGTGGCTCAGTCGGTTAAGCGTCCGACTTCGGCTCAGGTCATGATCTTGCGGTTCGTGAGTTCGAGCCCCGCGTCAGGCTCTGTGCTGACAGCTCAGAGCCTGGAGCCTGCTTCAGATTCTGTGTCTCCCTCTCTCTCTCTGACTCTCCCCCATTCATGCCCTGTCTCTCTCTGTCTCAAAAATAAATAAACGTAAAAAAATTTTTTAATATAATAATAATAATAGTTTGTTAAAAGTAGTTATTAAAATGGCTCATAACTAAGGAGGTACAAGGAATATTCAGTGAAGAATCACCTTCTGTCCCTGTCACCCATCACCTGGGGGCAGAAGGTGGATGAAGAGTTCCTGAGGGCCAGTCCTCACATCTGCCCACCACACCCCTTTCCTTCCACCACCACCTCTGCCTTGCCTTCTTCACGCCCACACTGTTGTGGGCAGAGAATCTGCTGGATTTCACTCCTCAACTCTCACATGTTGCTCGGACCAGGCCCTTCCAGCTGCCCCTGCCCCCGTCCTCCCCCTGGTCCTGACCGTCCTAGGCTTATGTCTCCCCTGTCCCTGCTTAGTACCACATCCATGTCCCACAAAGCCCTGGTGCCAGAACCAGGTGGGGGCCCAGGGGTCCCTGATGGGCTGGCCCTGCTTATGTGAGACTTGGAGTCCCCCAAGGAGAGCCCTGCCCTTTCTGGGGCCTGACAGCTGAGATGCCAAACATTTGGGGTTCTCTCCAGCCATAGGGAATTGACTGTCCTTCAGTGTAACCAGCAGTCTGCTTTGCTTGGGCAGCTGCCCTGTGGCTTTGCCCACAGCTCCACCCTGCCCTTCTGCCACCCTTTCACTTGTCCCTTGCACTGGTCCTGGGCAAGCTACAGCAGCCTGTCTGGGTGGGCCTGACTCTCTCTCTCTCTCTCAACCAGGAGTCCCTGTGGCATGGTCAAGGCCACTCTTTTCACAGCTCCCCCAGTCCTGTCATAGGATCAGGGAGAGTGAGCCCTTTCCAGAGGAGGCCCTTGAGATAGAAAGAATATTGAAATCCAAGAAGTTGGTGATGTATTGAGCAAAGGTGTTGGGGACAAAAAAAAAAAAATAAATAGAGCTGAGGGGATGACACAGAGCTGGGGAAATGATTCAAGCTGTTCCACATCCCCTGGGTCCTGTGGGGAGACTTGCCCCATGGCTACATTCATACAGAGTTCTTTCTCCATTATCCCCACCCCACCCTGGCTGCTCTTGCCTCCTCCCTTGGGTTCCGGGGTTAGGAGAGGTAGAGGGGAAAGGAGGGGTCACTGAGGATCTCAAAACCCTCTGAAAATGTCCCCACCCCAACTTCCTGCAGGAAAGGAAAGGAGCCTGGCCTCCCCACCCATGGGCCAACAGGCCATTGAGCACTAAAGATGGGGTGTCCTCAGCCGGGGGGGAGGGGCTAGATCTGGGAAAAACAGGGGAAGGAGGTGGAGGGCTAAAGGGAGGTGAAAAGCTGCAGGGTGCAAAGGGAGGGAGGAGAGAAATGGAGGAAACTGGGAGGAAGACAGTGGTGGGGGGAAGGGGGGTGGCGGGCAGCCAGAGGAGGGAGAAAGTAAAACATGGAAGCTTTAAACCCCAAGGGCTCTCATCAAGAAGGCAGGTTTGTTTATTTGTTTGTTTGTTTGTTTTTTAAAGAAAAATCACTTTATTCTTTCTGTGGAAACAATATACGCTCCCTATAAACAGTTTAAGCATTGTGGAAAAGTTAAAAAAAAAAAAAGTATTAGTTCCAGTTGCATGATTCAAATATAACCATCATTAACATTTCTGGTGCAGCATCCTAGACATATTTCCATGCATTTTTTACAGATAGAAGGAGGGATAGAAATACTTTCATAAAAATGGGATCATGCCATATGTCTATTTTCTTAGTGAAGATTTAATTTTACTTGATTCTAATTGAAGAAAATGAATCTGAAAGTAAAACTGAAGAAATTCTTGAACTTCACAGACATTTCTTCACCACACAAGATATGTTCCCCCTGAAAAATCACAGTAGGTTGAAGAAAAGAGAGAGTGACCTTTAGAGGTATACATTTGGCTAGTCTCAGGGAATCTGAGGTGAGTCTGACCTGTGGCCAACCTCACCCCATGAAGGAAAGGACAGTGGGCCCTCCACCACGTACAGTGCACCTGTCCCAGGAATTGTTGTCTAAGTTGTCACTGTGCACTGTCGCACTGAGGCAGACGCCCACAGGTTCCAGGTGGCTCACGTGGTGTTTGTATTTCAGCCATGCCACACCTGACCCTCCCATCTCTGCATTCACGTTGGTTCTCATCCCTCAGGTATGGCGGCATGGAAGCCCTGGGATACTGAGCTCCCTGTAATGAGTCCTTTCTCTGGGCAAAATAAACTGGGTGCTGGGACAGCCTCTTGGTCACAACATCTGAAACTCACTCTGGCGGTCTTTTCAGCATCATTATGTTTTTATTAACCACATTTTCCTTATAGGCCATATTGACTGATCCCTTGTTGAGAAATTGAGAACATTAGCATTAGCTAGTAGTTTTACACTGTCCAGTTTTATCTCGTCTAAATTGTTTGGTAACAGTAATTTACTTAGTTATTTCATATTCATTGTTTATCCAAGGCATCCACAGGTTGCTGCCTTCCTCTTCTGCTTCCTCATTCCTGAGTTCAAACTTTTTTTTTTTAAGTTTATTTATTTTGAGAGAGAGAGAGAGCACAAGCAGGGGAGGGACAGAGAAAGAGAGGGTGAGAGGGAGAGAGAGAGGATCCCAAGTGGGCTCTGAGCTGCCTTTAAGGAGCCCCACACAGGGCTCTGTCTCACAACTGTGAGACCATGACCTGAGCAGAAATCAAGAGTCAGATGCTTAACCAACTGGGCCACCCAGGTGCCCCCTTGAGTTCCAACTTTTGATGTCACTTTTTTTTTTTAAGTTTTTTAAAATGTTTATTTTTGAGAGAGAGACAGAGTACAAGAGGGGGAGGGGCAGAGAGAGAGGGAGGCACAGAATCTGAAGCAGGCCCCAGGCTCAGCACAGAGCCTGACTGGGGCTCGAACCCACCCACCACAAGATCAGGACCTGAGCCAAAGTCGGACACCCAACCGACTGAGCCACCCAGGTGCCCCTTGATGTCACTTTTAATTGTTGTAATTTTATTAAGTAGTTTTTCTTTTTCATGGAAGCCTTGTGGCCCCCATATTCTGACTTCTTTTATTTATTTTTTTTTAAATTTTTTTTTTCAACGTTTTTTATTTATTTTTGGGACAGAGAGAGACAGAGCATGAACGGGGGAGGGGCAGAGAGAGAGGGAGACACAGAATCGGAAACAGGCTCCAGGCTCCGAGCCATCAGCCCAGAGCCCGACGCGGGGCTCGAACTCACGGACCGCGAGATCGTGACCTGGCTGAAGTCGGACGCTTAACCGACTGCGCCACCCAGGCGCCCCTCTGACTTCTTTTATATTTGACAATGTCCTTTCCCCCCATTTTCCATGAATGTTATTACGAAGATTTCGTCTTATTAGCTTATTTTACCAAATTTTAATGTAACTCACACATATTTTTTTAATGTTTTATTTATTTTTGAGAGAGGGAGAGAGCACGAGCAGAGGAGGGACAGAGAGAGAGGGGGAAGGACAGAGGATCCAAAGTAGGCTCTGTGCTGACAGCAGAGAGCCTGACTTGGGGCTCAAACCCACAAACTGTGAGATCATGACCTGAGCCGAAGTCAGACACTTAACCAACTGAGCTATCCAGGCACCCCTTTAATGTAACTCATCTTAATTAAAACATCCCTTTGTCTCTAATGATTACTTCCCCTTTTTGCTATGACAATTTTATTTACATATAAAAAAGTAGACTGCCTCCACTAAGCGTTAGCTATATCAATCTCTGGCCCATATTTTTTTCAAATATATGCCTATTTTTTTCCTTTCACTCCCTTCAGAATTTTTAAATGTAAATCCAGGGGAACTTTTATCCTTTTAATTAAAATAATATACAACATTTATTGAGCATTTACTGTGCTCTGGACTGTGTGTGTATATAAGTGTATAAGAGTTCATATTGTACTTAGCTTGTTTCATTTAATCCAGTAGTCATGTTAGGTGCACTTTATTTATATACCCATTATACAGACATGAAATAAAAGTTTTATTGAAAAATGTATACAATTCATAGAGGTAGATCTCAATGCATTTTTTTCACAAAGTGAACACACCTTTAAACTATCACCCAGATTAGTGATGGAGATATTTTCCTCTTGACTTTGTACTTGAATAAAAATGAACTGGTTTTAGTATTTGGGGGTCCGTGCTCTTTTTTTAAAAAGTTACAACTTCATATTATTTCATTTTTATATAGTTTAAATTTTAAAAGTGTTTGCTTTATAAAAAAATTGTGAGAGACGATACAGAGAGTTCCCACAGGCCCCACACCCAGATTCCTCTATTATTAGTTTACATTAGTAAATTAGTAACAAATAGTACATTTGTTACAATTAATGGGGAAACAGTGGTACCTTCTTATTAACTAAAAATTCATAGCTGATTCAGATTTCCTAGTTTCCCCCTAATACCCTTTTTCTGTTCCAGGATCCCACCCAGGATACCGCTTACGCGCTGTGGGAGGAAGCGGCCTGGGGCACGTGGCCGCTGGCTGCGGAGCCACAAGCTGGATCCGGGCCTCAGGGGCTCCTCGCCCCTCCTCTGTCCCTGGAATGCGCGCAGCCGCCATCCGACTGCGGGAGCCATTTTCAAGCAGGAGGCCTGGAGAGAGCAATGTGGCGCTGAGAACTTCTGAACGGGGCTAAGGCCTCAGATCCTGCAGGGTCAAAGACAAGCCTGGACCAGCCTGTAAGTCGGCTTGCTTCTTAAACCCGCCACCTACCAGTCTGGAGCGCCCTGGCCCTTCCTTCCGTCTCTCCTTGCCCTCCGTGTTCTCGGCCACCAGTTTTCCACCCAACAGGCTCCCTTTTTTTTAATTAAAACACACACACACACACACACACACACACACACACACACACACACACAAAACTTTTTAGGGGCGTCTGGGTGGCTCAGTCGGTTGAGTGTCCGACTTCGGCTCAGGTCATGATCCCGCGATTGGTGAGTTTGAGCCCGTGTAGGACTCTGTACTGACAGCTAGGAGACTGGAGCCTTCTTGGATTCGGTGTCTCCCCCTCTCTCTGCCCCTCCCCGCTCATACTCTGTCTCTCTCTCGAAAAATAAAAGTAAACATTAAAAAAAAAAACAAAACCTTTAAAAAATATCTCTTTTTTCCCCGGTTTTATTGATACAGTCGACCCATATCGCTGTGTATCTCAGGTGCACAGCAGAGTGGGCTGACTTACACATATTGTGCAATGATCACCACAAAAAATTTAGTTAGCATCTGTTATCTCTTGGAGATAAAATGAAAAGAGAAAGCAAAACAAGGAAAAAACCTTTTTTCCTTGTGACAAGAACTCTTGGGATCCACTCTGTTGACTTCCCTGTATAAGCTTGCAGCAGCATAGCTTCAGTCACTACGCGGGAGGGGACATCCCTAGCACTCACTTGTTTTGTCGCTGGAGGCCTGTACCTTCGACCGCCTCCTCACGGTCCAGACTCTTCCCCTCAAAACTTGGTGGGCATTTCTCTGTTGTCTTCTAGCCTTGAGTGGTTGCTGTAGGGAGATTTGAGGCTTGTCTGATTTTAAAACAAATATTGAGCAGTATTCTGCATACTATAAGATGCACAGATTTTAGGGGTACAATTCTGTAAATTTTGACAAACGTGTACCCTGATGTAAACATCACCCAAATCTAGATATATAACTTTCTCTTTCCTCCTCAAAGATCCCCCTTGCCCCTTTTCCAGTAACTACCACGTCCTCCCAGAGATGACCACTGTTTGATTCTGATCGCCATTAACTAGCTTTGCCTAGAACTTTATATAAATAGAGTCATACCGTATGTACCCTTTTGTGTCTGGCTTTTTTCTCTAAATCTGTTTATGTGATTCATCCATGTTGCTGTGAGAATCAAATCTTTGTTTCTTTTTTATTGCCGAGTAATATTCCTGGAATATTCCGCTCTCACTGGAATTCCGCTCTCCATTCTCCTGTAGATGTATATTGGATTGTTTCCAATTTTTAAAGCTATTATAGATACATCTACTATGAACACTTTTGAGCAAGCCTTTTTGTAGACATAGGTTTTCAACTTTCTCTAGTAAATGCCTAAGAGTAGAATGGCTGAGTCATAGAGTCAGGGATTTTTAATCTTTATCAGAAATTTCCAAATGGTTTTCTCAAGTGATTATGCCATTAAAAACTGTTTTTTCAACATGTATTCATTTTTGAGAGACAGAGAGAGACAGAGTGTGAGTGGGGTCGGGTCAGAGAGAGAGGGAGACACAGAATCTGAAGTAGGCTCCAGGCTCTGAGCTGTCAGCACAGAGCCTGACGTGAATCTCGAACTCATGGACCACGAGATCGTGACCTGAGCCGAGGTCAGACACTTAACCGAATGAGCCACCCAGGCACCCCTTGATTGTGCCATTTTACACCAATATATCCCAGATACTCTTTGCCACTTGCCAGTCCTTTTAACTGTAGTGCGTGTCTAGTGGCATCTTACTGTGTGTGTGTGTGTGTTTAATGTTCATTTTTAAGAGAGAGCGCGCATGTGCGTGTGCCTGTGAGCTGGGGAAGGGCAGAGAGGGGAACGGAGGATCGGAAGCGGGCTCGGGGATGACAGCAGCAAACCCAATATGGGGCTGGAACTCACCAACCACGAGATCATGACCTTAGCGGAAGTCAGATACTCAACTGAGCCACCCAGATGCCCCCTTATTATGGTTTTAATTTGTATTTCTCTGGTGGTAAATTATACTGAGCAGTTTCTCACCTTCTTTTTGGCTATTCTGTATCTTCTTTTTTGAAGTACTTCAAATTTTGTGCTCATTTTTATTGGGCTATTTATTTTTTTAATACTGTTTTGTAGGAATTCTTTATATGTGCAGGATGAGTTTATTGGATAAATGTATTATGAACCTTTTCCCTGTTCTGTAGCTTTGCTTTTACTTATCTTACTCAGTTAATGAGCAAAGACTGTAATTTTGTTTTTTTATGGTTAATGCCTTACATTTTTTTTTTAGTATAGTTGACACACAATGTGACATTAATTTCAGGTGTACAGCATAATGACTCAACTTCTCTGTATGTTCTGCTGTGCTCACCACAGGTGTAGCTGCCATCTGTCACCAGACATGCTATCACAGTACCATTGCCTGTACTCCCTATGCTGTGCCTTTTATCCTCGTGACTTATTCATTCCATGACTGGAAGCCTGTATCACGCACTCTTCTTCACCCATTTTGCCCATTCCCCTGCCCCCCTTCCCTCTGGTATATGGTTAGTACCTTTATGATCTGTCCAAGAAATCTTTGCCTGCCCCAAGTTTGTGAACGTTTTCTCCTGTTTTTTTGGTCTATACTTTTTTTTAAGAGGAAAAACTAATATAACATAAAACCAACCATTTTAAAATTGGCAATTCAGTGGCATTTAATAAATTCACACTGTTGTACAATCAACACCTCTTTATAGTTCTGAAACATTTTCATCATCTCAAATAAAACCCTGGACCCATTAAGCAGTTACTCCCCATTCTTCCTTCCTTCAGCCTATGGCAAATCACCAATCAATCTACTTTCTATCTCTATTAATTTTCCTATTCTAGATATTGGTATAAATGGAATCATGCAGTATGTGATCCTGTGTGTCTGGCTTCTTTCACTTAGCTGATGGTTGGATACCAGACCGTTATCAGATGTATGATTTGTAAATATTCTCTCCTATTCTGTAGGTTGTCTTTTTGCTTTCTTGATAATGTCCTTTGATGCACTCACGTTTTTTATTTCGGTGAAATAATTTATCTATATTCCCTTTTGTTGCTTATGCTTTTGGTGTAACCTAAAAATTCATTGCCAAATCCAAGGTCATGAAGACTTTTACCCCTTGCCTTCTTCTAAGAGTTTTATGGTATTAGCTCTTATATTTAGGTCCTTGATCCATTGTGAGTTAATTTTTATGTACAGTGGGAGGAGTCCAACTTCATTTTTTGCATATGGATAGTCGTCTCAGCACTACATCTATCTGTATGCCTGTACCACACTGATTTGATTACTGTAATTTCATAGTAAGTTTTGAAATTGTGAAATGTGAGTACTCTAATTTTGTCCTTTTTTTTTTTCAAAATTGTTTTGACTATTCAATTCCATATGAATTTGAAGATTTGCTTTTTTATTTCTTTAGATAAGACCATTGGGGTTTTGATAGGAATTGTACTGGATTTGTAGCCCACTTTGGGGATTATTGCCATCTTAAAATTATTAAGTCTTCCAACCCATGAACACAGGATGTTTTTCTATTTACTTAGATCTTCTATAATTTCTTTCAGCAATGTTTTATAGTTTCCATATGTGAGTCTTTCACTTCCCTGAGTAGATTTATTCCTAGACACGCTATTCTTTGTGATACTATTGTAAATTATGGAATTGTTTTCTTAATTTCATTTTCAGATTGTTCATTACTGGTGTATAGTAACACAACTGATTTTTGTGTGTTGGTATTGTATCTGCCACTTTGCTGAATTCATTTCTTACTTCTAGTAGTTTTAAAAAAAATTCTTTGGGATGTATTATTTGTGCAATTATGTCACCTGTGAACAGAGATAGCTTTATTCTTTATTTTCCAGTTTGGATGCTTTATTTCCCTTGCCTAATTTCTCTGGTTAGAACTTCCAGTACAGTGTTGAAGAACATTGGTGAAAGTGGGCATCCTTGTCTTATTTCTAATCTTAGGGAGAAAGCTGTGTCTTTTTACCATTGAGTATGATGTTAGCAGGGGCGTTTTCCTAATTGCCCTTTATCATGTTCAGGATCTTCCATTCCTTGTTCTCTGAATGTTTTCATCATGAAAGGATGTTGGATTTTGCCAAAAGCTTTCACTGCATCAATGGAGATGTTCGTAGGATTTTTTCCCCTTTGTTCTATTACATTGAATGGCTTTTGTATGTTGAACTGCCTTAAATCCCAGGGATAAATCTCACTTGGTCATTGTGTACAGTCTTTTTAATATGCTTTTGGATCTGCTTTAGTCGTATATTGTTGAGGATTTTCGCATCTATATTCATAAGGGATATCGATCTGCAGTTTTCTTTCCTTGTGGCATCCTTGCCTGGTTTTAGCATGAGGGTAATATTGGCCTCATAGAATGAGTTAGGAAGTATTCTCTCCTCTTCTGTGTTCTGGAAGAGTTTGGAAAAGATTGGTGTTAATTTTTTAAATGTCTAGTATAATTCACCAGTAAAGCCACCTGATCCTGAACTTTTCATATTGGGAGGTTTTTGATTAGTGATTCAATCTCTGATAGGTCTATTTCAGATTTTTCTTTGGGGCAGTTTTGATAATTTGTGTGTTTCTATGAATGGGTCCAATTCATCTATATTATCTGATTTGTTGGAGTATAATTGTTCATAGTATACTTATAATTCTTTTTATTAAAAACAATTTTTTAAGTTTACTTATTTATTTTGAGAGAGAGAAGGAGACAGAATGAGGGAGTATGAGTGGGAGAAGGGCAGAGAGAGAGAGGGAGAGAGAGAATCCCAAACAGGCTCTGTGCTGACAGCGGGGCTCGAACTCCCAAACAGAGAGATCATGACCTGAACCAAAACCAAGAGTCTGACGTTTAACTAACTGAGCCACCCAGGAGCCCCTCTTATAATTCTTTTTAAAGCCACTCTTTCAAGGCATGATTGACATACAGAAAGCTGTACATATTTAATGTATACAATACCATTAGTTTG